CTGGGTGTTATGCACAAACAATGAATCATGGAACACTGCATCAAAAACTAATGATGTAATGTATGGTGGTTAACATAACAATAAAAAATTATTAAAAAAATATTAAACATATGCCTTTGCAAGGAAAATAAGCATAGACTATAATGTTATTTTCTAAAGGTAAATGCAGTTGTTGAATCCACTGTGATCATTTTCATGTATACTGCTTAATAGTTTTTCATGTATACATATATATATGCATAAACTTGAAATGTATATATTTTATACAATTATGTCATATTTGCATATTTATATTTTTACATTAAGTAATCATTTTGCATGAATGTACCACAGTTTTGAACAATTACACTTTGACTATAAATGCTTACATACATGTATGGGTAAGCATATTTCCAAAGACTTTTTGATATATATATATGTATATATCTACATATATCCTAACTTCCTCCTCATTTGTACAACTTTATATTTTATCATCAGTTGTTAAATAAATAAATCTCTGTCTACACACTGTCATCACATTGAATGTGATGGATATCACATTGAAGAGAAACAAAACAAAATAGTTATGAATGAAACCTGAATTGAATTTATGATGAACTCCATCTCCCTATTGCTTTAATTTGCTTTTATTTATTTTGACAGTTAGTGGTATGAAAGCAGATTAATAAAACTGCACTTTCATAAACTCAGAAAAATGATAAAGTGTGATCATATATAGAGATGAAAATTTCATTTTTAATGAAAATAAGATGTGACCTTAAACTTTATGTCAGTTCTGGAAACCATCAGCATATTGTAATACAATATTAGACACAAGTGAAACAATTTTCACCACTCAAATAGAGCACTATCACAAAAGTAAATTGAAAAACTTTAAAAGATTCCATGAATACTTTTCTGTGGCAGAAGAAGAACCTGAAGGATGGACATAACTTTGGAAAAGACAAATAATACTGCACTTGAAGCCACTCCCCTGCAGTGAATCAGCAATAAATCAGAGATTAGACAACATAGAGATAACATACTGTCCCAATTGCCTTGGTTTGAATTCCAAGTCTGTCCATTTTAGCCAAAAGAACATGGGCAAATAACATAACTTTTCTGTATTTAAATGTTCTTATCTGTAAAAAAAAAAAAGTAAAAAAAATAATACCTAACTCATACAGTTATTTCCAAGATTAAATAAGTTTATAAATGGAAATTACTTAGCATAATATGTGGACAAATAAAAAAGTGATCAATAAAAATCAGTACTACTATTAATATTTGCTCACTATGTTTTCTAATGTAGTGGAGCAAGGTAATTGCAAGTAATGATGGAAAATTTGGGTACAAAACAAAATGCAATAATGAAGTAAAATAGAGACAAAAATTTCAGAACATAAGAAGAAACCAGGATTATCACTGCAGGAATGAAGTTAAATGACTATTGATATGTGTTTGTGAATTTTATCTTTCATGAAGTAACTCGATAATTGCTTTTCATCCTGAATTTGATAAACTTATCTACAGGTTTAGTTAAGCATGTTTTCACATGACCAGCGCTTTTACAAGCACAGATATATAAAATTAATATCTTCAATATATCAGATTTTTAAAAGGAACAGAAAAAATAACATAAAAGCTTATCTTTTAGGTATATTTGTATATTTTTGAAAGTAAACAGAAATAAACTTATAAACAAGGTAAACACTTTCATTATAACCAGAGTTGAAAAGTAGACAGAAACCAAACAAAATACAGTAAAGGCCTTATCTGTTGAAAGCATCTTGGGCACATGAATTTACTCATCCCTTGCTTAAACCCCCCTAAAATGAAAATGGATTTTTAAGAAGGCAAAAACATACAAAAACAAAAACAAGAAAGGAGTAATAACAACGGAAACTGAATACCAAATAGCTGGTTTAAAAATCTGAATCCTAAACTAGTAATTGGGATAGGCCATAAGAAACTTTAAATATACTGCTGTACTATTCTGATGTTTCTGGAATTGCATGTCCAGTTCCCCTAGGGATTTTAAAAGTAAGCTCAAGAAGATAACTAATTGAAAGTAAGTTGTGTAAGTATGTGGAAACCTTCATTTCCTTTCTTAACTAATTGTCTCTGTTGTAGACTGATAGATCACTGAAAGCTGTTTTCCTTGGGAAGTCTATGAAATAGGGACACCAGGCACAGATGTTCTATTGTATTTCCCAATAGAGGAGGAATACCATACTGAAACTAGTATAACTAAGTTAAACTTGGCACATTGGATATTGGGAACTAGGCTTACACATTCTAAGAAGTATATTGGAAGAACCCTCTTCAGGAGGGAATCAAACCAGCAGAAATAACAAACAAACAAACAAACAAACAAAATCTAACCACATTAACGGCACGGTTTTCCCAACCAACAGCCCAGACAAAATTACTCTTTGTAAAGACAACAGCTCATAAACTCCATATGTAGTCATAGAGATGTTGAAATAAGCTATTAAATGCTCAATTGCTAATATGAAGAGGCACTAAATATATGATCAAACAATTAAGTATGAAAGATAGAGACATGAATAAATCAAAATTTTCAAGTTTGAGGTACCAAAGAATACAGAGGGTGAAGAAAACAAAATGGTAGAGAAAATATTTTATCCACAAAATAAGAATGAAGTGCTATTTAAAAAATAACATTCAGGGGATAAGTAACAGTAGTTGGAAATGAAAATTATGGTAATAAAAATATAAAAATCCAATAGAAAGTTCAAAGGATAAAATTCCAGAAATTACACAAAAAGAAAGAACAAAGACAAATGACAT